GAACCCGAAATTAGTTCGAAATCATTAACCCGAATTCAACCCAAGCCCGCCCAAATTAAACTCGGGCAGTGCTTGGGTTGAGTTCCTCAACCCGAGGTAGGGTTAAGGTTAGGGTTTAAGATTATATACCTAGGGTTGGGTTAAGGTTGAATGTCCAACCCGCCCGAGTTACTCCCCTACTTGTGTGGAATTCATTTTTTTACTTGCTTACATATTGTGGACTGGTGATATTATGTGGCAATGCTGACATGGGTTCGCCATTGCATGGAATATTTTCTCCTCGTGGAGAGAGAGAGAGAGAAAAAAGAAGAAGAAGAAGTGATTTCCTTTGAATTTAGCACAACTACCAACTCCATCATCATGAACATTTTTTGCACTCTTTCGGTTTTTGCTGCAAATATTCCACAAGCTTACCTACTCATTTTCCAGGTCTTTAAATTTACTTCTTGGAAGAAACTATCATAATGGAATCTTGGAAAATTAGAACATTGAACAACTACCAAGTGTTTGAAACTTCTTAAAGTTAGTTCATGAGAAATTAATTTCTCATAAATAGTTTAGTCTCATCGTGGATGAAATGTCTTTGACCAAATCGGGAAACCCGTTAATTAAGGTGCGCGTAAGTTGGTCCGACACTCCTGACCATTAAAAAACAAAACAAAAGTACTAGAGATCGATGACAAATTTAGCCTTTCTTATATAAGTAATGTTATTTGGATCTTAAAATCTGATATTATTTGCTAACCTAATAATGTGACTTTATTAGAACAATTGGATCAATACCAAATTTTAATGTTTAATAGGACGCATAGTTAATTCAAACGACATAGTAAATTAAGTCAATAAATTAGATCTCAATAACATTGATATTCCTTTATTGATAATATTTATAAAAGGAGAGTAAGAAGTTAGGTGTCCACTTACAATACTCTGAATCTCGTCTCTCTTAATCACTGATAACTTCCATTCTAACTGCATTTAACCATACTTAGTCGGTCATAACTCTCAATCCAACTACATTTAACCGTAATTAATTGCCTATAAATTATAATCTTTATATAAATTTATTTCTATTAATTTAATATCTCTTTTTATATCTCACTTTCTTACAATTAGGCACAAGGATATGAGTAAATAAATGCTTAAGCCCCTTTTAGCTGAGGAAAAAATGGCCAAAGACCAGCATGCATGCAGCAATATGAGGCCAGGTGGACAATTAGTCTGCCAACTCAACGAAAAAACTCTCTTTGGTCTCTCTAGAACGAAAGAGTTTTCGGTTCTGTCTCTTTAAGCACTACAAGTCTACATAATAAAAGTAATAACACAACAAACTCAACCACTTCCTCTTTGATCTAAGCCCTTTCTTCTTTGCCCATCACCTTCATTTCTCAGTCAGAAATGGCTGCTAAATCATTATCCCTACAATTTTCTTAATCCATGAAGAAAAAGAGAGAGAGAGAGAGAGATTTACTTCTACTTTTATAACTTAATTTATCTAGTCATTTTTTTTGTCTATCTATACAACTCAGTGAAAAAAGGATACAGGAAAATCCATAAATATCCAAAGAAATAGATTGAAAAGTCTAATGGTGATTAGGGTTTATCTCTTTCATTCCTGTGGTGGACGTGCCAACCAGAGAGAGCTAAGAGCCCTGAGGCGGTGGAAATACTCGCCGATCGCCAGAAAACATCTTGCTGCTTGACGGGTCGTCAGGATTTGATGCAGCCGATGAAGTGTTTGGTGCCTCAGATTATCTGCCTGTAAGTTGATTTTTTTTCATCAAAAAAAAAAACCAATATTACGTGACAGGTTCAACTATTGTATCGAAATATATTTTTTTGATATCATAATATTTTTTATTTTATTATTTTTATAATCAAACTAAATTCACGATTATAAAACAAAATTAGTATCATATCAAAATATATTTTTTTTCCGATACCAAGTCATACCCAAGGTTGCACCTCATGCATGTATGATTAGGGGTTTCTTGGTCACTTGAAACATTTAGAAAATGATAGGATTTTGAAAATGATATAAGTGCATGAATTCTTTGACTTTTGCTTGCTAGTGGTTAGGTTGTCCAAGGTGGGGAAAAGAATAAAAGCAGCTTGAAAAAAGAAGCAATGTGTGTATTTTTCTTCCTTCAGGTGGATATTTGTGGTGTTGTGTAGGTCCTTTTTGACCATGATTCTAGAAATTCAACAACAGTAAATATAAGTTCAAACTTAGCTAGCTAGGCCATTTTCTACCATACCCAAAAATAACATTTCGAGATCCAATTAGATCGGGTGATGAGTCAACTACGCTAAATTATGATTAGAGATGATGCCTAATTAGAATCGAATCAAGGAACTTGGTAACGCTCTTAACCTTTTATGATTGATCCCAACATCCTAAATTTTTATGAGTAATTTTTGGATCGATCATAATATCTTTCAATATGATATCGAATTAATACCACATATTTTTCTTTAGAAATGATAAAAAATTTCTTCTAGCATACCATACATGGAACAAAATAGTAATGACAAGTTATGTTACCTATTGTAAGTGGAATTTAAGAAAGATTAGATATTTTCAACTTGAAATTCAACAAAAACTATTAATAAATTATGAGCTATGAAGACAATGAAAAAACAAGAAGGAAATCATTGTGGCAAGCTTGAATAAGTAAAAGAGTAGGAATAAAGAAGAACCAACAAACACACATATTTCCATGACTATTCTCCCCCATGAGAATTTTCTTTATGAAGACTGTCATAGGTCTATTTTAAGTTTCCATATTTCACCCCTAGGTTTTTTCTCCCTTTTTTGTCAAAAGCCTTGAACTGCTTTCTCTCCCTCTTTTTTTTTTTTTTTTTCTAGAGCTATAAATTATTAAAATTAGGAGTAAACCAATCACAACCTACTATGTATACCAAGTAACCACCTCCAACTTCCATTAACTAACTATCATTATATAAAATTATTTTTGCTACCCTATAACTTTTTGTAATTATTTATATAACTTTTCAAGTAATTGGGTGAGAGAGGAAATGATGAGAAAGAAAGATAAAACAAGAAATGGTGGGTAATACACATGTGTGTTGCACAGGATCGGTCGCTAGTGTTCAATTAAACAAAAGAGAACTATATCCGCATATAAAGCCTCCCCCCCCCCCCCCCCTCCCCCGCCCCCTCTCCCAACTATCAAAATTGGGAGAGCTCATTTGATAGCAACCCCAAAAAAATAATTTTTTTGCGCACGTTTTTCAAAGTATATCTTTCCTTCTAAGTCTCTTAGGAAATCAAAAGATATATTTTTTTTCAATTGATCATTTCATTTTCCTTACCTAACTCCTAGGAGGAAGATTTTCTCTCTAATATCTCACCGTCTCAATTAAGACGTACATTCAAGGTTTAAAAAATGGCCACTACAAAGCGTAACTACAGTTATATATTAAAAGCAGAGAAATATGTTTCCATTATATAAAAAGTTTACAAACAAACAAAAAAAAATCACTTGTAACAGCTGTTAGATGATCATGTGAATCTCTTTTAACTCATGCATTTTCGATATTAAACTCATTCTTCACATATAAAAAATCTTCCTAAATTGGATTTATACCTATAATATGAAATATGACAATTGGAGAGTGTTTCAAAAATTTAGAGACTCCACAATAAAAATAAAAAAATTTATCTAACCTTCAAAATATTTTGTATGATACTATTGAACTCATTATTAATCAATAATAATTTATATTTATATGACTTAAAATAAGCATGTGTAAATTAACAACTAATCATATAATCCATAGAAAAGCCCATGGTTTGAACTTCCAATTCAATATAAACTTGTGAAAAATCCATTAAAAAAATACTTTCTGTTTTTGTTGGTTAGCAGACTAACTGAAGTCAATGAGTTGGTAGAAGTTTAATGTCGTTCTCAAAATAATAGCAAGTAACTGAGTTAATGGTGAGTCAACACATAGACTTCACTCAGATGGCCTTGGCCCTTGACAAAGAAAGATGATAAGACTATTGAAGTTATGATGGATGGTCCATATGATGTCTTTGAAGTCAAACGATTATGAAAATGACTTCATTAGAACATGGGCCTGAGATCCCCATGATGGGGATATCTTATGGCCCACCTCTTTCCAGAACTATGCGTATGTGTAAATCCGTGCATACAAATCATCTTCTTACATGAAATTCATGCAAATGATTTTTATTCTAAGCCTATGAGTCATTTGATTCGTGTATGAAATCAATTGAAAATTCTTGGATATCAATAGGATTTTAAACGAGTTTACCCACTAAAAAAATCTAAGTTACCATTTAACTAAATTGACACATAAAAAGAATTCAATGGGATAGACATCCCGTTAAACATAATTACAAATAATATGAGAATGAGTTGATCAAATTTGAACATGACACAAACTCGACCCGACTCCCACGACCTATTCTTACTCCTAACGTGAGACCAGGGTTTCTATAGTTTATGGCCGTTGAGCACATATACATTAGATCCATGAGGCATTGTGAGCTGGAGAGTAGGTGACCAATTGGAGTAGGTTTCCAACCCAGACAAGGAGCAGATTCTTGTCTATGGGCATCAACATCACACCTACGTGTATATGTGTGAATGTGTACGTGAGGTTTTACGGATGTTAATGGACATCCTTGTGGTGGGCGGGAGGTAAGATTATTTTAGTAGGACTTGAATATTAATTGTTCGAGTCGGAAATGTTAAGACTCATCACTCATTACATATGAAGTAAGATTACGCATATTTTTTTTTTCAGAGCCTATAATGATGATTCTGTAATGATTGTAATCTTATAAACTGTAAACACAGTCATCCTAATGTAGATGTATATGTATGCAAAAAATTGCTAGTTTTATGTCTAGAATTAAAACTAATATATACATGCATGTATCTATAGAATTGAAGCTATGTATATGCAAATATTGCTATGTTTTTATTTTGTTTAGGAAATTACATACCTGTCTGACAAAACCTTCTACGGTGGAGAGCTTGTTCATGGCTATGGCCATTTGGCCCATGTAGTTGGCCATGTTTGGAGGGCAGCTCAGTGAATCAGAAGCAATGGTGTCTGAGAGAGATTGATTCAGAGCATCAAGGCCTTGAGATAGAGCTTCTTCGGCCTCCTGTGTCGATTGTTGCAATCCACAGATGCCCAAGAGCTGTTGTTCCGATAATGGCTCAATTTGGTTTAGAATAATCTAGCATATATACACATATATTAGTTGATCAAACTTTAGATCAGATATAGAATCATACAAAGATATATACGCATATACGTATGCATACATTCTATATGAAAATTGCATACGGATATGAGAATATTACATTCTAAAGACACCCTAAACGAACAGCAAACATGAGATAATTTCGGAGAATTGGTCAAAATCAACCCAACACAATGTATACCATGCATGTTCTTTACAACCGTTTTTGTGCATTGTCATCCATAAACATAACGAGACACTATAACATGATGGTCGTGAAATTTAAACTCTAAGACTTAATATAATCATGAATCTAATATCATGTTAAACTAATCACTATTTCAAAAAAATTAAATTGTTACATGTTGTGAATCACAAGATGTTGAATAAGTGCTTTGTTTACTTATTTACTACAGAACAAAGTTATAGGTGAACAAGACCATTGTTTCCATCATCGAAAGGAAATAGAAGACAGGAGTAGAGAGCCGTGCAGGTGTCCTCTCTCTCTCTCTCACACACACACACACATAAAGACACACACAGACATAGCACACTCACGCACAAACTAGAAGAAGAAGTAACAGACATGGCTTTATGGCTAGGTTTGGAATAATACCAAACTCGACCCTATAGCGAAAGCTTCATGATACCTTTCGTCATTCATTAATTGATATGCACTATGAAATTTTCTCATCATGACATCCCAAGGTTGCACCATGTAATTAACTTCCACAAATGTTTAAGCATGGCAGCTACCCAACAATTGCTTAGAATAATTGGCTGATGGAAACCAGAATGACCCACTCTGGTTTGGTTTTATTTTTGATTGACATCATGTATTCACTGGTATAGTGTTATCAGAGCTCTTTTGTCACAGAATTTTGAGAGAAGTATCGGCTCAAGGACTTTTCTTCCTTCAAATTCGGCACCCCTCGAGTTCTCTGTCTTTTGTATAGGCTGCAAAGTTACAATGGGTGATACCTACTATATTTTTTAAGGGTATCACCCCGACACATGTATATGTATGTTTTTTGATAAATAGATTTTTTTTTATTTTCTGAAAAAATCATTAAAAAACACAAACTTTGAAACTTGAGAGAATATGTTAGCAGGATTTCACCAAATTAGAAGGATTTGATCGTGTATTCACTGTTCTTAAGGAAATTATGTTCTCACTATGTTGCTGCTAGGTTTATGGCAAATTTCTCTAGGATTAACAAAGTCAAACAGAATTTCAGATAGCAAACTCTAAAATTCTCTTAAGAACAGAATAGATAAACGTTTTTTTTGTATATATCTCAATTGAAAGATTTGTACAGGTATTTATAATACCTTAATGAGAATACACAACTTTTAGGCCAAAGAAATGTAAAGAGGAGACACAATTCTTGGGCCAAAAGACATTTAGTAATTAATTAATACAAAAATAATTAATTATTTAAAAGTTTCAAGCCCAATATGCCCGAAGTATCCATCTTTTGACTTTAAAGATTATTTTATTTAAAGTCTAATAAAGGTCTATTGATTTGAAATATTTGAAGCTTTACTCCAAATTTTTCCACCATTCAAATTTATAAAATTTAGTGTGTTTCTCCTTTTAAATCTTTACATTCTCTTTCAACTTTTTTAACGTGAAATTTTTTACATTACTAACTATCTCTAACAAAATATAGGAAACAATATATTATTGTTAGGGTTGTTTGTTGGAACTATTTTTTTGCGGGTACGTAGCTTCAAAACTTTTTTGGACTGTGTGTTAAAAAGTTTTAGGTTGATTAACTATTGTGTGTAACTTTTCTCTTTTTCTCTAATTTGTGACTTTGGGTATTAAAAAAATAGACATAAAACACTAGATAGACTTTAGTCAAGAAGTTAACTTCAAAAACCTTCTTTCACTTTCTTCTGATTTTTACCTAGCATCAATGTTAAAAGATTTTCTTGTGTTTCTTGTTATTTTTTTAAGTCAAAACATTCATTTAGTGTTAAGCTTGTGTTATACTAAAGAAGATATGTGAACACTATTTTGCAGTAGAAAGTTATATGTATAAACCTTGATGAGCTCAGATGGCCGGAAGTCTCCCATCCACATGAAGCATCGCTCTGCCGGAGTCTTCCACATGCCAGAAACAAGATGAAACACATCGGATTTGGCGACCATACTTTTCAGGTTCATCATCTCATCATAATGTGCTAAGCCGTTGTCCACAAATAGCCGTAACTCGTTCTCCGGCAAATGCTCTTGTACAGCCGCTCGGAGCTCGCACATGATCTGATGGTGTTCTTCCAGCCATCTTGCATACTCCATGTCGAAAACTGCAGCATCTAGCAAAAAGAAATATCGTTATAAGAGAAATATCGTCAATCTTTTCTCTCATAGACTGAGCTCTTTGTTTTTTTGAAATAAAATTTATGTACTTCTAGAAAAAAAATAACAAGTTACAAAAAGAAATGTAGATAGTAAATATTGAGCTTAGAATGGTACCCGAGCTTAAGTTGCCCATAGGAACAGGAAGACCTTGGTCTCCTCCTCCCACAACAGCACCTCCATTAAAGTAAAAACCCTAACAGAAAGAAAAAAAAACCCAGATTAAAAAACATGTTTTCCATGAAGAAAATGGACTATTAGCAATAATTCTTTCAATCATTAGCATTAATTATTTAAGAACATTCTTTAACACCTGAGATCTAGCTCTTTGTATTTCTTGTTCCAACTGAGTAAGCTTGATCCTACTTGTCTCTAGTTGCTGAACATAGGCCTGCAATAAAACAAAACAAAAAAAGCAATGAAAATCAAAGGATAATACTCATGAATACACTTTGTTGAACTGTAATACATAATGATAATTGTTTATTTTCTCTGGACTGGCCTTTTTTCTGAGCCTGCTTTTCCTTGCTGCCTCTCTATTCTGAGCAAGCCTCCGCAGTGTCTGCTTAATAACACATCAAACACACATTATTATTATATACGTATAGATCATATATATGTGTATATATATATATATATATATATATAGAGAGAGAGAGAGAGAGAGAGAGAGAGAAGATTTTATTTCCTGAAAAAGTGAATTGAAGAAGCTACCTTAGGGTCTGGTGTTTTGGGTCCTTCCTGCTCTGAACTTGATGTTGCACCTTTGCGGTTTCCCTCACGCTGCAACAACAAAAACAGAAAGAATCAAATCAAACATTAAATAAATAGAAAGTAAAACACAAATCCCAGTTTACAAGAATCTATAAAGTTGTTTATTTTGTGGGTGTATAGATATATTTAGACATGTACTGAGTTGCTACCTTGACGGCCTTGGCTGGTTCAGGCCCAGAAGCAACATCATTTTTTGTGGTTTGGAGCTCCATGGACGGCTCAGATGGTCTCTTTGAACCACTTGTAGCTGGAGGAACTAATCCACTGCTTCCCTACCAACCACAAAATTAACAAATCCACTCGAAGTTATATAAAAATTAGGTAACTTAGAGCAAGAAATGAAATATCGTAACGGTTAGATACCTTTGTTGATATTGGCTCTACATGCATGGGCTGAGAAGGAAAAATGTTCAAAGTTGGTGGCCTCATCCCAGAATTTTCTGCACACATGAATCCCCCCAAATGATTAGTCCAAAGCCCGGAGAGAGAGAGAGCATCTTTTATTCTACAGACATGATAATCATGAAAGAAGAAGGGGGGGGGGGGGGTGTGGAGGCAAGGTCAAAGAGGTCTGATCATACGAAAACGAGTCTCTGGATAGGTCATGCATTTGTAGCTCTGTGCAAACCAAAGGGAAAAAAGAAGAAACCAAGGAGAAAAAGCTGGAAAGACACAATACCTGATTCGTACCCTTTTCAGTACAATCAGTATTCGCAAGAAATTCATGATCGGAAGTTTGTTACATACAGTGGTCCAATCTCATAATAACATAAAAAAGAATTGAAATTAAATTATGGAAAATATTTTCCTTGGAAACTGAAAATTTTCTCCCCTGCAAGGATCTGGTCAAAGAAAAGTACAATCTGATATTATCTGATGAACATACTTTTCTCATGTCCCAAACAACTGATCCCCAGAAGAATCTCAACAGAAAACACTTAAAATTGGAAAGAAACAGTAAGTCCTTGTTCTCTTCGATAGAGAACTAGCAAAAATTTTAAATACAGAGAACAAAAATTTTTGTATGTTTGTGTGTGTGTGTGAGAGAGAGAGAGAAAGAAAGGGATGAAGAGAGAGAATGGGAACCCACGCCTTTGGTCTTGGATTGTTGAGGGGTCTTGGCCATCAAGATAAAGAAAAAGAGCTTGATCTAATTCACCCAAATCATAAGCTCCAGTGTCTTTGCTTCTGCAGACCACAGACAATATCAAAGGAAACCCAGAAATAAAAATAGCAAATGAATTGAAAATTAAAACAATAAATTTTTTAGGAAATTTGAAAGGAAATGAAGACATGGGTTTTGTGGGTTTGGTTTGTTTTGTTTTGATAGTATAAAAAAAAAATTACATGAAGCTTCCAGGAATGGTTGAGGATGATAAAGGTGATTGCATCATTCCAAAAGACATCTGATTGTGTTGCTGATGATTATGATGTTCTTGAAGCTGTTGACTCTGGTGGTGCAGTTGTAGTAGTTGTTCTTCTTGTTGGTTTAAATTTGATAATACTTGAGTTGAGTGGTTGCTTCCTTTATTGGTCGCCATGGAAGGAGGTCCAACAAGCAGGTTCTTGCTTTCTCTCTCTGGTGAAGCTTCAAAAACAACTCTTTCAAAACCCATTAATGAGACTGAAACTGCCTTGTGTTGTTCTTTTTCTCCACACTAGAAACCATTTCTTGATCGCCATAGTCAATACATACAGACAGGTCTTGAGGGAAAAAGAGTCGGTTATAATTGATGAGAGTTCGATGAGCGGATAGAAATGAGAGAGAGAGAAAGAGAGAATTCAATGCAAAAGAGGCAAAAGACAAAGCCTATTTTAAGCTCTCGTCTTTTCTCTCTCTCTAAAGAACCAGACGACTTTCTGTAAACCAAATTTTCAGATAAAGCGGTCTTAAGATATCCAGTTCAACTTATTCTCTCTATTTTCTCTCTCTAAAATTCTCTCAGAAACGGTTCCACTCGGCGAAACCAACAGACCTGAGGAGAGTCTATGGAAACTGGTTTTGGCTTCCTTGTCCGACCATCTCATTCATTGGTGTTAAATGACGAAAAAGCCCTTGCTATTCCCACATTTTTACTATTGACATTTTTCATGCAACTTTGAAAGAACTTACACATTAACACGTAGAAGGGTGAGGCGGCCAGCCAAGGAGCACATCTTACCATAGTCTCTCTCTCTCTCTCTCTCTCTCTCTCTCTCTCTCTCTCTCCATTGATTTTCTTCTTCATTTGTTTTGATTTTTTGCATTCTTACATTAAAAAGTTTTTGTTTTTTACTTTGGCTAAACACCAATTTATTCATTCATCTCATATTTTGCATTTATTGTGTAAATATCAAATTATTTATGTTTAACATTAACACAATTCGTTTATTATTCGTGTTAACATGCATTGAGTCATAGATTGTAAAAAAATTCTCACTCCTCAACCTATTGGTTCCTGCAGAATGGAAGAATCCCAAAAATTGTTTGTAGATTTAAGACAAAAATGGTCTACGTAAATAGATTTTTCCAATTGCAATGAATATGTAAAAAAAAGTTATAGTAACAATTGAAAGAATCTAAGCTTGAATTTGACAATATGAAGGACCATTTCTCTGATGCTATAAACTCAGACAAATATAAAATGCAACGGTGACATTACATCATCATTTACACATGATATCACTATTTAATTACAATTCATATATAGGATTATAAACTCTATTAAGTTCAATACATCTACCAATAACTTTCACATTCAACAACTATCACAGTTAATTATCAATCTTATGTTTTTATTTATAGTCGATTGATAATATTACATGCCAATGATAGTGTGACATTGTTGTTGCATTGAATATTAAAAAATAAAAAAAGGAATCATATTTGTACATTGATATCAAGATTGATTATTTAGATTAGAAACTAATTATTTTAGGCACATTTATTTGCCTTTTAGAGAAAGCAAATAGAATTTAACCTGATCATGCATAACTAATGATGTTTGACCACTTAAATGATTTGTTCTATGCGACAAGCTCGCACTGACTTGATCATGGAGACATGTTTTGAGAAAGGATAAAAGGAAACTAAAAACACACACCCCCCACAAAAAAAAATAAAAAGAATTTGGGGGAGAAGAAAAAAGTAGTTTCAATCTAATTATAATCTTGTACACTATGTCATGCTCTAGGGTCTCAAATTATGACACTATTCGTTAATACGATATAAACACGAAACAAAATTAGAGAATTTTGATCTTTCTTAAGCCACTCATTCATAAACGAGTGAACCCGACATGACTCGATTCATAAAGCAAATCAAGTATAGATGAAGTCAATTAAAAGAATTATACGACATGATTTATTTATATAATGATTATACACAACACGAACCCGATATAACACGACTCATTAGACACGAATTAGATATGTGTGCAGTGTTTTTTGACAAAAATTCACTAAGACTCAATACTTACCTGTTTCATCCGACACGATTGATAGATTTACTGTGCTCCTTAAATCAATGTTACTATTGTTGGTATTTAACGCGCCTTAAACCCATAGACACACACACAATCGAAAAACAAACCAAGAACATAAAGCAATAACAGACAAAAAAGATCAAGACACAAAGATTTTACGTGGTTCGACAATTTGTCTACGTCCACGCAGCTGCAGAGATTTCACTATTGAGAGAGAAGAATTATAGAGAGCGGTTATACATTTCGATCAAACCTTAATCACCAAAGTGGCGATGTTTTATATGTCTTATGCACCGGGCTACAAAATAGGCCCAAAAAATTTTCCTCGAGGGCACCCCCATGACGCTTGTCCATGAGCGGCCCAAGCTTTTACTCCGTGGACCAAGACTCAAAAAATTTTTCATTGAAAAATCATGCAACAATATTTTGGGAGTCAGGTCATCATCCGAATCACAAATACAAACTAGACTCCACAAAAGGCCCAACAATTCTCCCACTTGCAGACTAGTTCAAATACCGGCATCAAAACCACAATCCTCCCAAGAACAATCTCTCATCCCTGTAGCTCATCCTCCTGTCCTCAAGCTGAGAGACCCACAGAAGTTAAACAAGACTTCAGCTTTTCCACAGCAACCACTTTCATGAACATGTCTGTCAGATTTTCCCTTGTGTAAATCTTCTCCATAGTGAACTATTCATCCTCCAACAAAAAGAAAATAAAGTGATACTTTATGTCGATGTGCTTAGTCCTCGAATGAAAGACTGCATTCTTCGCCACATGTATCGAAACCCAACTGACTGATGCACTGCCCAATGTAAAAACATGTCCGGTAGTGGTCTTCCTGCTGTCAATGTCCCCTACTAAATCAGAATCTACAAACTCTTGCAAACAAACATCAGAATCCCCAAAATTCAAAGCCAAATTTGAAGTACCTTTCAAGTAATGCAGAATCCATTTGACTACTTCCTAATGCTCCTTGCCTGGATTTTCCATGAACATGCTGACAATTCCCTCTGTATGAGCAATATCTGTCTTTGTATTGACCATGACATACATCAAACTGCCTACCGTCGAGGCATATGGAACCTTTACCATATAGTTCTGCTCTTCATCTGTTACTGCACACTTTGCCTTCGAAAGCTTGAAGTGACTTGCCAAAGGTGTGCTAACTAGTTTAGTTGAACCTTTTCAGTACCTTTTCAACATACTCCTCTTGTGACAACTTCAATTTCATGTTTGTCTTGTCCCTACTAATTCGCATCCCAAGAATTTTCTTCGCAGAGCCCAAATCCTTCATTGCAAACTCCTTTGACAGTTGTGCCTTGAGATTAACAATTTCATCCATGCTTAAAACTGCAAAAACATATCATCTACATACAACAAAAGTATGAGATATGACGTATCAAGCTTCTTAATATAACAATAATGGTCCCCATGACATCTACTAAACCTCGTAGCTACCATAAAGGTATTAAATTTTTTATACCATTATCTCGGAGCCTGTTTCAACCCATATAGACTCTTCCTCAACTTGCATACCTGATTCTCCTTGTCTTTCACAACATAACTCTTTGGCTTATACATATAAATGTCATCCTCCAAATCCCTATGAAGGAAAGCAGTTTTAACATCCAACTGCTCTAAATGTAGGTTCTCAACAGCCACAACATTAAATACGCATCTAATAGTAGAAATTTTAACAATAGAAAAAAAAATTTTAATATAATTTATACCTTGTTTCTGCTCAAAACCTTTGACTCCCAACCTTGCTTTGTACCGTTTGCTCCCATCAGATTCTTCCTTAATCTTGTAAACTTACTTGTTGTGCAAAATTCTCTGCCCCTTGGGCAATTGAACTAATTCTCAAGTCTGATTGATGAGAGATAATTCATCTCATCATCCATTGCAAGCTCCCACTCCTTTTTGGACTCAACCTGCAACACTTCCTCAAAACGTTCTGGTTCACTGCTATTAGTTAACAATAAATAATACAAAGATGGAGAATAATGTGCTAGAAATTTTACCGTATGTGTAGTCCTTCTAGGAAGAGGAGTCTGTGGATCTGTCAGTGGAATAGATTATGTATTAGTATCCTAAGACTCTAAGACATTTCTGTTAGGGATCCTCTCAAACTCTACAAAGTCTGATATTACCTCAGTGTCTTTGGGTTGACTTAGTCTGTTTCTATACAAAACTAAGTCATTAAATACCATATTAATACTCCTACATGTTTTTCGATTCTCAAAATCATACAGCTTATACCCATAGATGTTAATATCATAGCCTATGAACATGCACTTACGAGACTTAGCATCGAGTTTATCTCTATTCTTCAATTCTATATGCATATAGGCAATGCAACCAAAAACTCGTAAATGAGATAAATTTACCTCCTTGCTTGTTCAAGCCTCCTCTGGCAATCGAAAATTCAATGGAACTGAAGACCCTCTATTGATCAAATACACAATATTGTTTACTACATCAGCCCAAAATTGCTTAGGTAACCCAGCATGTAACATCATGCTCCTTGCACACTCTAGGATTGTCCTGTTCATGCGTTTAGCAACTCCATTCTGCCTTGGCTTCTTTGGAACCATTTTCAACCTTCGAATCGCATTCGCAACACAGTAAGCCTCAAACTCACTGCTACAATACTCACCACCACCACTATCGAATTTTAGGCACTTCAATTTCATCCTTGTTTCATTCTCAACTAGTGTTTTTCAATTCTTGAAAACATCAAACACATCATATTTATGCTTAAGAAAATAAACTCATAGTTTTCTAGTAGCGTCATAAATGAAAATAACAAAATAAGATAAACTATCAAGAGAAGATACTTTTGATGGACCCCACACATCGATAGGAACAAGCTCCAGCTTCTCCGTTTTTAGAGTTCTTGTCACCTTTGTGAAGTTGACTTCTTCTATTTTTCGAGAACACAATCCTCACAGAAGTGTAAATCCAACGACTTACAACTCGACAATTTTTCCTTCGACATCATTAGTTTCATCCTCTTTTCGTTCATGTGGAACCTATGATGTCACGTAGTGCAATCAATCTCTGATGTTGTCACCGTGATGCTACTATAAGTACCCAAAGATACATATAGAGTTCCTTCCTTTTTACCACAAGCAAGAAAGCCTCCTTA